AATTGATAAGATTCCATAAATCTTCTACCAAAAGATACCTCAGATCTCATTTTCAAACAGCAGCTTTTATTTGTGGTATACTTACTGGTTTGCATTTGTCTTTTAATTTTTAGGCAGTTCAGAACTTCATCAGATTTCTTGTGTTTACAAAATTTTTTAGCATGTTTTAGTTATAAGATTATGAGAGTCAAACTCACTGTTAATCCTTGGTGGGTTGATGGACAGGTAAGCCTGGAGACCCAGGTCTTCTGTTTATGGAATGACTGTTTAAAAATGGAAAAAGAAGAAGAAATAAAAGGAAAGAGATGTGGAGTGGGGCAGGCTTCTCCTCCCTGTTCCTTCTGTGCACTACAGCTGTGAGCTTGTTAACCCACCTTCCGATTGAGTGAACGGAAAGTTTAATCTTAGCAAGTTTCAGTCCTTTACCAGTGTGTGCTAACTGTGATTGTGGTTTTGATGAAACACAGTAGAATTGAGCTCAAATCAGCAATTCATTTCAAATACATTCAGGAAACATTTTTTTTAATCCATAGATCCACTAAACTTGTAATAATTGAGAGATTGCTGCTTCTGGCAGAACGCTATGTGATCACTATAGAGGTAAGCCTCTCTTCCTTTTAAAGCAACTTCATTCATCATATTACTAGACAAAATTGTGTATGTCTGATATGTTTAATAGCGGCACTGTGCATCTGACTTGTTTCACTTGTTTTATTTTTTTCAAGGATTTTTACTCTGTTCCACGAACTATTCTACCTCATGGTGCCTCATTTCATGGACATCTTTTAACTCTTAATGTTACTTATGAGTCTACCAAAGATACCTTTACTGTTGAGGTAGGTTCACATTAAGCTCTGTAGCCACTGTCATGTCGTCCTGTTATTTTCGTAAGAACAGTCTTAATTGAGGTAGTTGCATGAATGATGATTCTCACAGCTGTTTGGTAAACAAATTTAGAATACAGACCTGCAACGAAAGGAAACTGTAGAGTATAAGCAGGTATATAAATAAATGTATAATATGATGTCAGGTGGTGATAAATGTTATAGAGAATAGATAAAAACAAAGCAGGGTCAGCTAGTAGAAGGTGACGGCTGTGCATGAAGTATTTTAGATAAAGATGAACAGGAAAGGTCTCTCTGAGGTGGTGACATTTGAGCACAAACTTGAGTAAAGTGACAGAGTAAGGGGTGTTTACTTGGAAGAGCATTCCAGGCAAGGGGAGCAGCAGGCGCAGAGGCAAGTAAGGTGGCTGGTGTGGGTAGAGCACAGTGAGGAGGAGGAAGAGTGGAAGACGCTGCAGTGGAAGAAGGACTTAAGATTTTATTCCATGCGTGATGTGGGGAGGGAGACGGCGGAAGGGAAAGCTCACAAGGGCAGGATTCCTTGTCTTTGGGCCGTCTGCTGTGTTCCCAGCTGCTAGAACAGTGCTGGGTACGTAGTAGATAGATGCTCACTAACGGTAGGTAGATGAGTTCTCTCACAACAGTGTTTAATTGTGTTTCACAGGCTCACAGTAATGAAACCATAGGGAGTGTCCGATGGAAGATAGCCAAGCAGTTGTGCTCTCCTGTGGATAATATACAGATATTTACAAATGATAGCCTGGTAGGTTTGAATAAGCAGTTTTTATGAATAATAAACTGATACGATTCCACTGTTTAGCCTGATATGAGTAATTTCCTCTTCCTTTCCCTCTCAATAATTAAGAAATCACTTCTTGCAGCTGACAGTGAATAGAGATCAAAAGCTGCTCCACCAGCTGGGCTTCTCTGATGAGCAAGTGCTTACAGTGAAGACTTCTGGCAGTGGGACCCCATCTGGAAGCTCCGCGGATTCCTCCACCAGCTCCAGCAGCAGCAGCAGTGGGGTTTTCAGTTCCTCGTATGTCATGGAGCAGGTACGAGGTGATAAATTTCACTTTAAAAACAAGAATTTAACAATCGCTATCTTTTTGCCTTCAGCCCCTACAGATTTGTGATTGTGTCCTTTTTTTCTGAGACAAATACTGACTCTTAAGAACTGTATGACAGAGATGTTGGGTTTCAATTGGGAAAAGAAGATGTATAATTTATCAGTGTTTTAAGTCAAAGAACCTTCTGAATCACCGAATCATTCTGCCTGGCCACTCAGTGTTGTTTCACACATCTCTCTTCATGGATTCATTGATTTTTCTCTCTACTGGGTCATCCCATTAGCATTCAAGCATGTTGTGTTATTTCTGCCATCCAAAAAAAAAA